TGCACGGAAATTATATCATATTGTATTTGATCACTGGATTCCCTTTATTATTGCCTAATATTCATAAAGATGGCCATTACCAGGCATGACAAGGAGAAATTGTCTTGTAGTTAGACCTGGAAATTTCAATATTCTAGTCACAGTGACTTGCACAGCTCGGCCAAGCCTCCTTAAACCGACAATCGGCTGGAGGCTTCACAGTAGGTGCTGGTTCTGCGGTGAGCTACGACGCCCTCTTGAGCTCTCAAAGACTGGTTGGTTGTCTGTAGATATATTATATATACACATTTCTACTTCGTTTCCCGGCAGTGTTTTGCTATAAGAAAAAAATATAATGTCTTGTCTTCCTATTAATCAGAGAGAATTTATTCATAAAGTCTTTTTTTTAAATCAGAGTGAGCTTTCTAACTATATTTGATTAGTTGGTAATTGTTCAAATAGAGAGATGCCGTTTGTGGCTGGCAAAGGCCAAGAAGCCTCAACCATGTTTATTTGCTTGTTTATTTTATAAGAGCTGTTGTATTATAGCCCAATTGTATGTTAACTATATTAACATTACAGTAAGGGTTAAATTTGAAAATTTTCTCACATGGTCAGACCACTTCTTTGGTTACCTAAGCAGGTACTTGCAAAGGCAAGCCAGGAATCTAATGGGACCCATTTCTGTGCATCAAAACTAGAGGTTGGCTTGATGACAAACCATCAGCACCAAGGTGGTAAAGAGCCTAAGCAGCTCACATGCACAGTTTCACCTGAACAAAGATGTTTTGCTCAAACAACATGAGTGGTAGGTTAAGGGTAGGATATAATTTGGTTTACACTAAGGGAGAGGGGAACAGTTTTCCTCCTCTTTAGTATACTCAATGAGACATAGAGCTTGGTTCTCTATTTGCTTATAGATTGCTAGGGAGCTGGAAAGCTCAATATTACCAGAATACAGATGATAGACATTTCATCTTTGTCAGAATGGAAAGTGCAGAGCTTCCATTTGTGCCTACGGATTATTTCTTTTACGTGACAACTGCAGCTTCTTATCCTCTACAAGAATATCATCTTCAATATGCCCTTGCTTAGTATATCCATACATAAAGCTTAACCATCTTTCGGGTCAACTCCATGAAATCCTATATATATCTTGGACATAATATTGGTTGATCTACAGTCAGAGTCCTAATGTTGTGTGATATGAAGTCACTCCCATTATTATTTCTTATGGCATGAGTATAAGATGAAAGAATTGATAAGACTCAATACATTCCTTGGCTGACGGGCACGAAATTCAGGTCCAGCTCTTCATTTAAGGTGTCCCAAGTGTCTCTGAATATGAGTGGTTATCAGGGAGGGTATTTAAATTCATATGGTGATATTGTCTTTTTGTTTGTAGTGGTATCATTCTTTTCATGTGTGTGTCCTCTACTTATTTGGTATTGCATTCATCTTTTATATCTGAATGATGGATATTTTTCTTTTTATTCTCACATCTGTTTTGATACATTTAACAGAATAACTCCTCAGTGTCTTAACTTTACAAATTCATATTGCAGGGTTAGAAAGGAGCAAAGATCATGGCTGGAAAAAGGATTGCTGTGGTAAGATTTTATTATACCTCATTTACTATTTTTTCTGTTGATTGTTGTAATGGTGACAGTGTAATTATTTATGGCTGAGAGTATTTATTTCCAATGACATATGAGTATTTACAGCATCATTCATTGCTACCGATAATTTTTTAATTAAGTGTTTAGAAGACACCTGCATGGCTGCTTTTGACTTTGTACCTCTTCTGCTGCAATTGCAAAAAAACTCCACAATGTATATTTGTCATCAAGTATGGAATTAGTCAGAACTCTATTTGGCATGAATATACATAATAGCATTCTATTGTTCTTTAGAGGGTACAGTAATTGACACTGCTTCAAAGATCAGAGCAATTAGATTTGTATAGGCACAGGTGATTACAAGGATATTTTTTATCATTATTATTATCATAATACTTTTCTATTATTTTATTTCACTTAATTTAAAACCACTTCATTCACAGGTGACTGGGGGCAATAAGGGAATTGGATATGGGATAATGAAAGAGTTATGTGCCAAGTTTGATGGCATTGTGTATCTCACTGCCCGGGATGAAGGAAGGGGCCTGGCTGCTGTTGACGAACTCAAGAAAGTAAGCATAATTTATATTTAAGTTATCCATGAGTAACATCAAGTATTTTTTTTTTCTTCTTTCTTTCTTCTTCCTTCCATCCTTCCTTCCTTCTTTCTTCAGTACAATACACACACTCTCTCTGTCTGTCTGTCTCTCTGACTCTCTCTCTTTCTCTGACTCTTTCTCTCTCTCTTTCTCTGACTCTCTCTCTTTCTCTGACTCTCTCTCTTCTCTCTCTCTCTCTCTTCTCTGACTCTCTCTCTTTCTCTGACTCTCTCTCTCTCTCTCTCTCTCTCTCTCTCTCTCTCTCTCTCTCTCTCTCTCTCTCTCTCTCTCTCTCTCTCTCTCTCTCTCTCTCTCTCTCTCTCTCTCTCTCTCTCTCTCTCTCTCTCTCTCTCTCTCTCTCTCTCTCTCTCTCTCTCTCTCTCTCTCTCTCTCTCTCTCTCTCTCTCTCTCTCTCTCTCTCTTCTCTCTCTCTCTCTTTCTCTCTCTCTCTCTTTCTCTCTCTCTCTCTTTCTCTCTCTCTCTTCTCTCTCTCTCTCTTTCTCTCTCTCTCTCTTTCTCTCTCTCTCTCTTTCTCTCTCTCTCTCTTTCTCTCTCTCTCTCTTTCTCTCTCTCTCTCTCTCTCTCTCTCTCTCTCTCTCTCTCTCTCTCTCTCTCTCTCTCTCTCTCTCTCTCTCTCTCTCTCTGACTCTCTTTCTCCTTTTCTCTCTCTCTTTCTCTTTCTCTTTTTCTCTTTCTCTCTCTCTCTTACTCTTTTTCTCTCTCTTACTCTTTTTCTCTCTCTCTTACTCTTTTTCTCTCTCTCTTTCTCTTTTTCTCTCTCTCTTTCTCTTTTTCTCTCTCTCTTTCTCTCTCTCTTTTTCTCTCTCTCTCTCTCTTTCTCTCTCTCTTTCTCTTTTTCTCTCTCTCTTTCTCTTTTTCTCTCTCTCTTTCTCTTTTTCTCTCTCTCTTTCTCTTTTTCTCTCTCCTTCTCTTTTTCTCTCTCTCCTTCTCTTTTCCTCTCTCTCCTTCTCTTTTCCTCTCTCTCTTTCTCTCTCTCTCTCTCTCTCTCTCTCTCTCTCTCTCTCTCTCTCTCTCTTTCTCTCTTTCTCTCTTTCTCTCTCTCTCTCTCTCTCTCTCTCTCTCTCTCTCTCTCTCTCTCTCTCTCTCTCTCTCCCTCTCTCTCTCTCTGGTATTTATTTATTTTCCTATTCAGTTTAACTAAATATGTGTCTATCTCTTTCAGAACATTACACAAAAATAAGAATTACCATCTCAGGTTGTCTAAATCGTTTGCTGAATGTGCCTTTGACAAAAACCAAACCCAAGTGTATTTGAGCAATCTGTTCACTAATAATTAGAGTAAATGTATATATTTTTTTCCAGCTTGGCTTCGCTCCTCGTTTCCATCAACTGGACATTGACAATGCTGAGAGTATTTCAAAGTTTACAAATTATATAAAGGACACATATGGAGGACTTGACGTTCTAGTTAATAATGCAGCCATTGCCTACAAGGTAAAGTCATCTTTATATTTATTGATTTATATATATATATATTTTTTTTTATAATGAGTTTTATGAAATATAATAGGACATTTAAAAGTTTGATGACTAGTATGACTATCATATAGAATTTGTATTTCCTTATGAATTTATCAGTATTTATGTTCAAAGTCATGGATATTTCAGATTTTACTCTTAAACATATCTTTGAGCACAGTTGTTGAGTTTGAATAAGACACACTATATAACCATTTGCTGCCAATTAAATGTACTATAGTTTTCCTTTGTGAATTTTGTTTGCACATACATTTCTCCACAAGTGCTCAGCCACCAAGGAGCCAATTAGTAGGTCTACATGACCTCAGTTGATTTCCCCTTTCCTTAAGTTTTAGGGGGGAAAATTATAGAATCTTTCCAGAAATCAAGGAAAAGTATAAACAGTTCAGATAGGTGGGACAAGGTATTGACTCACTGGTGATTAACCCGATATTGGGCAAGTAATCATACATGGCAATACTTCACGTTCTGGTGCAAATGGGATGGGCGATGTACACTCTCTTAGCAAGACTGATTGTGATTTTTTTATTTTTTTATTTACTTTTTTTTTTAATTAATTAATAAATTTATTTATTTATTTATATATTTATTTTTCACTGGACCTTATAACAAGTAAAAGGAATGTATTATACACTAGTCATTCATGGTCACAGGTTATGAGTGCAGTGGTGTATCTGGAAATTAGCCAAGTCAAATGGGTGTGCACATCTAAAATGTGTACAACTCTAGATGTGAAAGCTGAAAACATAGGGAATATAAATTGGCCATGTGATACATGTTATAGTGGTTTGTTCAAAGTTAGGTAGGATATTGCTGAAATAAAGAGTTTGGTGGCTGAACTAGATGAAACAGTGAAGGATTTGATTAGTGGCAGGTTAAAGGATATGGCAAGTAACATGAATTGAGTCAGTGCCTCAATCAGTGCTGACTCAGACAAAGCTTGCATAATTATTAGGTAGGCTGAAGTCATCAAGAAGAAGAAAAGAACAGAAAAAAATATACAGGCTAAGTCAACTAATGATAATGAAGTCACTAAAAAGAGAAGTCTCACAGGACTTGGACAGTATGAAAATGATATTTTGTCAGAGATATGGACATACTACACTAAAGTGTGCTGCCATAGAAACTGAAGAGCCATGCTATACAGAGTGCACTGTTAATCATGATACTTGGGATTGTGAACACTGAGTAGAAATGCATAAATTATAAACCCTAGGATAAATGATGTAAGGTAGTAGAGGAGGAACTCGACTAGAACAGAAAGCAGGTACTGAATAGCAAAGGCTTGAATAATTTAAAAGGGTTTCTTTACATCATTAGGCAACAAAAGTTTTGTTTTATGGAATTTAATTGATAATCATAATCTGGCAGAGAACTGGTAAAGTGAATGTGATGCTGGCAAGATTTATGAGATGATACCTGAAATGCATTCCTTCTTCCATATACCATGGCATAGGAGGGAAGGTGATGAAGTAGGAATCTTTGTTTCAAACATATTTAAGAAATTAAAGATTGATGTAGTGGAGAGGATGGACAGCTCTGAGCACATACAAGTTAGCTGTAAACTTGATACACAGAAATTTATTTTCATAGCAGTTCATAGGCCTCTAAGCACTAATCCCATTACATTTATTGATGAGTTTGAACTATACCTAGAGTTGGTCAGTACAGTTAATGCAAACGTGTTTACTGCTGGAGATTTCAACCTGCAAATTGATGGTATTAACAGTCATAATGCCAGGGATTTTATAGAAATGATGTTGAATTTTGTGATTAACTGCCATTTTTTGTGATATGGAACATAATCTCTTACAAAATGTCAGTGAGGATGATTCTTGCAGCATTACTGCAGTGTCTAGTTTAGGATTCCCTTTGTAAAAGAGAGTAGACAAAGAAGCAAATGAAGTTTAAGAGAAAACTGAAAACTTTTGCCAGAATTCTCAGTCAACAAAGTGGTTCAGAGAGTTTAAACAGGAGTGCAAGATAGCTGTGAAGATAGTATAACAGAGATTAGAAAGTGTGTAAATTACATATCTTCCTTGTATGACTGTATTTGTAAGTGTGGAGTACAGTGCTATGTGCCAGGTAATTAAAAAGGAAATCATAATCAGGAACTATGGTTTAATGGAGATGTAAGAACTAAAGAAAAAAGAAAAGCAAAGAACAGATGTGGTGTAGATTACATACTGATAGAGTTAGATAGTAATATCAAGATGCAAGAAATGAAAAGAGGCTAATAGCAATGAAGAAAAAAGATAATTATAAACACCTAACAGGCAACAAGAACAGGCCAAGGTTACCTGAATGACATTCTGATATGCTTGCGAATAGATTCTAAGGCTTTTTTTGAAGATAAGATAACAAATATTATGGAGAGATTTGCTGAAGATGATATAAAGTCAATATACCCATGTAAATGAAATTGTAAGAGTGGATTTAGTAATGGTTGAAAATATTGCACTTCAAGTGAAGCTAACAAATAATAATAATCTACTCCTTGTATGAGACATAATAAAAAGTAGGAATATATATATTTTATATCAAATATTCTTGGAAATTATTAATCTGAGCTCAGTGATTTCCATGATTATTTAGGGATAATAATGTATTTCCAGAGAGTTAGAAATTTGCCAACATTAGACTTATTGTTAAAGGTACATTGGATGCATAGAGTTTGAGGTTATACAGACCAGTATGGAATCAGACTTTCCCATCAAAAGTGATGGTGAATGTGATTTTAGGTCATGTATGGGATCCCAAAACACATACAGGGCCTTTCCAGACAACCAGTCATTTTATAGGCAACCCAATTCAACTGAAACTGCATTATATGCCATGGTAAACAATTTACTTGTATTAGATCTGAGTGCAGCATATGATATTGTAGTGCATACCTTACTGTTTAATAATTTAAAAACTATTGGTGTGGAAGGGAATGCACTGGCCTATTTAGAAAGCTATTTGGAAAATGATAGAACATAATGTGTGTAAGTGTGGGAATCTATGGGCCTATTCTTTTACAGGCATTTCCTTCTCTTCTTTACCCCTTCTTCTGTCCACTTCCTAAGGTGTGAGAGCCGTACTGAAAGGATGAAAGGCTGGCTTTGTGTCAGTCATGAATGGCCTCCAGGAGCTATGGGCACAGTATTCCCTTGGTTAATCTCCTAGTCCTTACCCCAGATGGGGACCTTGAGGGGTAGACTGTTTATTCTCCCTATTTATTTCAGGCTCACCATAGCCAATAATGAAGAATTTTTAACCTTATTACAGTTACTAAAGCTTGCCCCCATCATCAACTAGCCTATCTAAATTTGATTTCAGTGGTTTCTTGAACCCTGCCTCTCCTTTTACCGTGGCACCGACCACTGATACTAAGCCTCGATGTTTGCTGTTAACTCAGTCCATTCCAAATGACATGTATCACTGAACTATAAATTCCCCTCTGGTATGATACTAATAATGATGAGCTTAGGAAAATGTCATAGAACAAATGCATAGTTTTTATTTTTTTAAATGTACAGTGGAAAAATAAGTATTTGTACCCTTTGCACAAACTAATAGGAAAAATTGCTGAAGTGGTGTGAAATAGAAAGCCAAGGTAGTTAACAATGTAATCAGGTGTTAACAGAGCACAAGTAAAAGTAATGATTGATTTTTTTCTTTTCTTTTCTTTCTTTTCTGACTACATATATCCTAACACACCAAGTTTTGCCAAGTAAAGGGTTAAGCACTTGTGGAGTCATCTATATGTAAAGACAATTAATAAACAAAATCACAGTGGAAATGGCATAGAATTTTGGTTA